AATGTCGGACACGGCAGCACAGCTGGAGAGCTTCATGAAGGACGTGGCTGACAACAGAAAGGAGCGCAAACCGGTCAGAAGTAACATTATTGAGGTAAACTATCAACAAACAAATCAAAACATGAAAGCAGGCAGAATAATTCTTAAAATTAGATTTTAATATTCTCTTGATTTTTTTTTCTAAAGAGGCCTCTCGACCCATCGGATGTCTCGGGGCTGAGCCGGAAACTCATCTCTGTAAGTTTTCAGGAACATCTTACATTTCTGTGTTTGTTTGCTCGCTATGTCAGTGGTTCTCAACTGGTGGGTAGTGGCCCATAAGTGGGTCACAGAGCTGTTTTCAGTGGGTCGTGACTGAGTTCCTAGGGGAAAAAAATGGTGTCAAAAAGTCTGTAAAGTTCTATGTTCTGTATCTTTGTTCTGTCACATCTTTTGAAACATCTTTCATTGAAAATAAACCTGATAGGTTGAACAATATCAGAAACTCTGGTCGCAGGAGGAGATGGTGGTGAGTCCTAAAGCTAAACCCATTAAGAACCACTCCTCTAAATATATCCCTGCCATAGTGAGTTCACATTATATTAAAGGCAGAACCGTCTCTGCAGATTAAAGAAGATAAAATAATGGAAAAGATGAAGAAAGGCCGTCTTATAGAAACGCAAAAATACAGATTTTAAAGTCAAAAATCTTTGAAGAAGCAAAATAACACCAACACAAAACAGTTGAACCTCTGATTTCAATAGTTGTGAGATCACCTGTGATTTTATTTTGTCCTTTATTATGAGACATTCCTTCAAAACAAAGTCCTGTGCATGCATGAGATTATAAATATAACGCTTATTTGTTTTTTTTAAATACCTGAGTACAATATTCCACCAGTACCGCTCAGCTCTCTTTTAACCATAGTTTACATCTTATTGTATAATATAACTGTTTTGTTTGTATATATACTGGTGGGTTTAGTATTTGTATATGTTCTATATTTAACTACTTCTCTACAGGTGTGCTCCGACAGGTTTTTGTTGTACTTGTACAGTGACAGTAAAGATCATCTTCTCTGATTTCAGGAGCAAAACTTCCAGCCGTGTCAGATGAAAACGTTCTTCCAGCTTCCCTTCCCTGTTCACTTTATCAGCGAGAGTATTCGTACGGTACCCTTCTCCCACCACGACTACGCCAGGTAACCACACCTGTACCTGGCAGGGATGAGTGACAGCACTTCCTTTAAAAGTCTGATTTACACGGACAGTTTTTTGTATTTCTACTTTTTTCTACGTGTAACTTTTAGTTCATCTAAAGTGTAATAAAAACTTTTTGTTTCCTTTTTTCTCTTAAAGTTTGTGCATCTTGGCGAGGATGATGACGGCTAAGTTTCTGCATGGAGAAATCAGGGAGAAGGGAGGAGCCTACGGGGGCGGGGCCAGGATGGGAGGAGGTCTTTTCTCTTTTTACTCGTACAGGTGAGAGGCCGCCACACCACACTCAACAAAGTTTTAAAAAACATTATGGAAATTGTAATGACGTTAAAATACAATAACAGTTCATTTTGTTGCCTTGGCTGAAACAAGTTTAATATTTTATATACACTCAGGCTTTCTCGAACCTTAGAAAACGATGTGCATTTTGGTTAATAGGTGTATTTAATGGAATCTAATACATACAAAATCTCCGTACTTATGAAGGAGTAGAGGTAGATTCTATAAAAGGGGGCAGGCTGGGTTGTCTTCAAGATATGAATTTTGTTAAAGGTCACATATTCTCCTCGTCTTCAACCAGTTTAAATAAGTCTCAGAGCTCCTCAAAACATGTGTGTGAAGTTTCTTGTTCTAAATCCACTCTGATCCAATATTTGATCATGTCTATAAACCCCTCTATTTCAGCCCTGCTCAGAACAGGCTGTTTCTGTGTCTGTACCTTTAAATATGTAAATGAGCTGTGTTTCACCACTCCCCCTCACTGGAAGGGCTCGGGTGTCTCAGGCTTTCTTGCTACCTGCTCTATTGTTTACGGTGAGAAGGCAGACTCAGAGGGCAGAACAAACACCTAGCTGTGGGAGTGTCACCCACCTGGGGGAGGGGCTACTGCTCTTCGTGATGTCATGAAGGGAAAAACTCCAAACGGCCTGTTTGAGCACACATTTTCTGAAAAGTGGAGCAGGCAAAAGACAGAGAGGATGGACTTTTCTCATCATTGGGGGGTTTGTAGACGGACTAGAGACACATAGAAACATGGTGAAGAGGATTTAACAGAATATGTGACCTTTAAAATGGATTTTAAATCAAGTTTTGGAGAGACAAGGGAAAGAACCAAAGTTGCAGCAGCACTTATTTTGTTCTAATCTAATGAAATTTGAATTGAATTCCTGAAAGAGATTTGTTGCCATATTCTCAAATGTGACCTCTTCTTCCTCCCTTTGTCCAAAATGCAAAATCTTTATATTCCAAGAATATTCAGGCGATCTGTCTGGAAAAAAAGAGACACAGAAGACTGAACAATTTACTAAGGGAAGCCATCATGGGGCGTTTTTGGAAGCTGTAATAAAATATTCCAAATGACTTCTACGTTTAAAAAGAATCTTCTTTGAGATGAACAGTGTGTCGTTGATTTTGTATTTCTTTCTCGTACTTCTCTAAGGGATCCAAACTCGGTGCAGACCTTGTCTGCGTTTCGTCGAGGTGTGGACTGGGCGAAGTCGGGACAGTTCACCCAGCAGGACATCGATGAAGCTAAACTGTCAGTGTTCTCGGCTGTAGACTCGCCTGTGGCCCCCGCGGACAAAGGTGAGGAACGACTGAGTGATCCCTCCAGCTGCTGTCAGGATGCCTCACCTGATCCTCCTCCAATCAGATCTCTGGAGCTTTAACATCTCAGTACATCACTGACAACTTCAACATTAGAAGTCTTTAATGGAGGTTAAAAGCTTTTAAAGGATTAATGAATAAAATGATGAGTAAAAAGTTGAATTATAAGCAAGTTCAGATATGAAGAGATCTTCATTAGTTTTATTAACTTAGTCTCCGTCTCTGTTGTAAAGCCGTCACTGTCTCCACTTTATCTCTTAGCCGTCTGGTTTGTTCACTCTGTGTTTGTGTTGCAGGAATGGGTCGCTTCCTCAGCGGAGTCACCGATGAGATGAAGCAGAATCACAGAGAAAGACTTTTTGCTGTCACTCACCAAAGTCTGGTGGAAGTGGCTGAAAGGTACAAACTTTATGTCCCCTTACATAACTCAGAAATGAAGAGAAGGAGAAGCTAAAAGAAAAAACAGACTGACAAACTGTTCCCGTTTATTCCCACATCAAGTGTTAACTCGTGTCTTGTTTTCCCCCTCGCTGCAGATACCTCGGCGTCGGTCAGAGGACTTGTGGAGTTGCTATCTTGGGTCCAGAGAACGAGGCGATTAAAAAAGATCCCTCATGGATCGTAAAATAATCCAGTCTGTAGGTAACTTGTGATTTAAATACTCAACTGGACTTCTGGAGAATCACAGCTGCACGACTTATTCTGTACTGAATGCTGAAAGTCTACGGTTAGGATTTTTTATTAAAGAGTCAAAAAGCTGAAGCGCACAATATCAAGAGGAGGACTGAGAGCTGCTGTCATGGTTCAGATACGTCTTCATTCTGTATATATTTAATGAAATATATGATCATGTTGGAATACACTATGTGAGTGAGCTCTTCTTTTTGGGATCATTGCAAAAGTATCATCAAGAGATATATCATTTATATAAACTTCAATCAGGTGTTTTTGTTTTTTTCTGCAGGATACAAATGACTTTCTTCCTCTGTGGTTTACTCTGGGAAACTCAGAGCAGAGGAAGAACATCAGAGCCATTCTGTCTAATTCAAACAACAAACTGAGTCATGTGCAAACACTCAGTCAGGTCATGTTGGTCTTTGTGGGGGCGCAGGTAGTCTAGTGGTTTTTGTGCACGCCCCATGTATGGAGGCTGTGGTCCTATTTTCCACAAATTTCACATTTTCATTGGTTCCTCAGTTAGGAAGTGTTTGAACATGAATTATGATCTTAATATGTTTCCCTCAGTACGACCCTTATGAGGTAGAAGTAAACAAAAGCATATCAAGATCATAACTCATGTTCAAGAACTTCCTAACTCTCTATCAATGAGCTGTAATCAGGAAGGTAATGAGAACAAACTCTTAGATAATGACCTGTTAACTATAGACTATGGTCATGTAGATAAGGTACTAATAAGTGCTTCATAATGACCAATAAGCAGCCAGTATGCTACTAGTTAGCATTCTAATACGCCGCTAGTTAATGTTGAATATTATGACCTTAAATTGAAGTTTTAACAATTATTTTTCAAGTCTTTGAACACCACAGGTGAAATCAATTTCCCTCCATTTTATCGGGTTTGAAGCACAAATCAACAGATTTAAAACTCAGGGTGAATAAAACCAAAGAATTGCTGCAGGTCAACACATCTGGTGAGATGATTGAGTTTTTAAAATCAGACACTCTAACCTCAGTTCCCTTTTCTAAAATCCTAATTTACTGATAAATAAAACAGAGTCACACGTCTTTGCACACAATAAATGCTTTATTACTCTGACAGGACGGTCACATCTCACTGCCGGCACATGAAGGTAAAATGTTGCTCCACTTCCAAAACTACAGCAACAGCAGGACCCTACTCACAAACACCACTATAGAGATGTCACACACACACACACACACACACACACACACACACACACACACACACACACACACACACACACACAGAAAGCCAGAGTGGATAGAAACAACAAAGGCAACACCACAACAACACACACTCATATACGCATGGTTAGCAGGTGAAAGGACACACACACACACACACACACACACACACACACACACACACACACACACACACACACACACACACACACACACACACACACACACACACACACACACACACACACACACACACACACTGCCAGCTCGGCTTGTTAAATAACAATCAGGATAGTGGACGTTTTTAATTAGTTTTTTAAAGGTGTTAGACTGACAGCATGTGATTCTCCTCCCTGCTAATACTCTCTCTTTATAAGCAGCTTTAAGGGGGATTACATATATATATGAATGATGGGGCTCAAAGTGCTGTAGAAAATAATTTAAAATCACACGAGCTAGACTTGAAATGCGTCGTCAACCGAGTGCAAACGTTTGCTCGGCTAGCGTCAGACAAATGGAGATAAAGCTACGTTTTCAGGACTCAAACTTGCATACTTACATCACGAGGAGTGCTTAGATTAATATGTTGAAGTCTCTAATATCTTTGATAAGGGATCTATAAAATACTACATGAGCTGTGCTGGCTTGTTGAAACTACAGAAAGAGCTAAAGATCCCCTTCCAAACAGTTGCCATGACTTCTTCACCCTACAGTCTCACTCTTTAAAATCTCTTCAAATCTACCTTTAACTTTTATTTGCAGTCAATCAGCGGTCGATCAGTCATTGTGTGAGTAGCTGTCCCCGTTTTGTGAAGCTGTGTTCTCGTCGGGAGTCGTAAAGCTCTCTTCTTCCAGGTGGTAGTGCGGGGGGGGGGTTCAGATGGTCGCGGAGGTCTTGCTCTCCTTGGGGCGGACCCGGGTCACGTGTTCCAGCTGCCCGGAGTCGGACACGTCATAGCTCGTCTTGTACTTGGCGAGGATTTTCATCAGAGGACGGAGCTTCAGCCACCACTGCTCCTTAGGGATCCTGTGCCTGAGGAGACAAAACGCAAGGACGGGGGGGTTAATAACTTTATTTATATTTAGAACCTTTGGAAACACGGGGTTACAAAATGCTTTGACTTACAAGCAAAATGCCACAACAACTCGTCAGCAGAACAACCCATACAACAAAACACCCAAACAACATATTTCACCCAACCATCACAGGACCAGATTTGGGTTGGTGAAAGGAACCCCAATCCCCCAGTTATTAAAAAAGGGATGAATCTAAAAATGTCCCTCTAGGCTCCCTTACAGTTCACGTAACAAAATGTGGAAATGGTTATCTTGTTATTGGAAGTACAGTTGATTTCTTGAAGGCCAGGAAGACGATATCATGATCAATATACAGAGCAAAGGTTCATGGGTTGATATGCAGCAAAATGTAGGCCAGAGTTAGCTTAGCATCAAGATTGGAACGAAAAGAGAAGATTCCTTTAAAGTCTTTATTTGTGATTTTTCACACTTAAATGTATAAATCAAGTATATCCTGTGAAAATAACTCTGTGAGTCATGACTGTCTACAATGGGTGTAACACCCGAGTCCCACTGTCTGTGATGTTTTCAGAGTTTTCAGAGTCCTATCTTCACTTTGTTTACATCGCCAGGACGGCCGGCTGACTCCTCCCCTCGAGTATAAAAGTTGTTTAATTGAGGGACTAGAGAAAAGAAGAATAACATACTGTACTCACTGCTTAACTGTGTTTCTAGATCACGCTCATTTCAGGTAAATTTACATGCAGTGTGAAGATACCAGCACAATAAAGATCGCCAGCATTAGCATGCTAACACAACAATGCAGCGCGAGTTGTTTTGGTTTCATGCTGGTGCTCAAGGGCGACATCTGCTGGATCAAAACATCTCATATAAAGCCTTTAAGAAAAATAAAACCATGACCGGATTCATAAAAATATATCTTTTTCCAAAACAGTTGTAGGGTCATAATTTCTAAACCCTAAAACAGGGTTTTGCTGCAAAACTGGAGAATAAGATGCAATTAGTTATCTCAATAATGAAAGTCATTTTTTAAACTTTTTTAACACTGAGGAGCTTTTTGCTGCTAAAAAGTTGAAGCAGAAAGTTTGTCTTACACAAAGTCGGTCTCGTCCCTGAGCTGAGAGACGGGCTGGAAGACGAGAGCTCTGCGACGCATCCCCAGCAGGCAGGCCGTGTCCTCCGAGTTAGCAAACACTCGACCTGCATCGAGAGAACAGCCTCAGCGAATCAGAAACCAGGAGTGGACATAATGTTTTCATCAGTAGTAGAAACTGAGCTTTTTTGTTTTACCTCCTTTGTAAGAGTCCTTGAGCGTCCTCGTGATCCACTGGATGGCTTTAGCTGCAACTTTAGTGCCAAAGTTTCTGTCGAATGGTGAAGGAGCTCCTCCCTGTGAAAAGAGAGAAACAGCACATTAAGAACAGAGCTCACAAAGATCGAAATATACATACAAGAGACAGGTATGTAATCATGTTTAACATCATCAAAAAGCATGTTTAAACAACACACAAAACTATTTTCAACCTCAAAAAAAGTGAGTGTATATTTTTTTTTAAGATAAAAGTAGCTGCAGAATAAAGTGTGTGTGTGTGTGTGTGTGTGTGTGTGTGTGTGTGTGTGTGTGTGTGTGTGTGTGTGTGTGTGCGTCCGTCCGACCTGCTGCATGTGACCCAGGATGTTCTTCCTGCAGTCAAACACTCCTCGTCCCTCCTCCGTGTACAGCTGGTAGATGAAGTCGGTGGTGAAGTTCTCGTTGCAGTTCTCATTTCTGGAACAGTCGCATTAAAAAGTACAACAGGTCGGTTAAACAAGTTGGTTCACTGCAAGAAAAAAAACTTTACCTAAGAGAAAATCTCCCAATTAATTAAAAGCTTGGAGCACCAACGATTACAATCGCATTAAACTCCACTGTGTTGAAGAGGAGACAGACATTCAACAGGCAGATATTCAAAAACCTCTCTAATGAGATTCATCTTTCTGACAATGTAAGATCATTTTATTTTATTACAAAACATCCATTAGTCTTCTCAAAGCTCCCAGACTCCATTTACACACACACACACACACACACACACACACACACACACACACACACACACACACACACACACACAACTCAATACAAGCAGCATTTGACCTGATGTTCTTTACAATGGAGTCTGCTGGCTTTGAAGAGAGAAATTAAAAAGGGCTGTTCCTGGTTTAAATCAAGTATCTCACTCTTAAAAAATATATTTTTTTAAAAATGCAGAGGCAGACGTGTAGTTGAAGTTGTCTAGACTAAGAACATTAATGATATATTAGCACCTGGAGTTGATGCACTTGGATGTGTCTTCGGGAAAGCCCGGTGTACACATCAAGATTGTATAAAATGTGTTGATGAATGTCGGCTCACGCTGTGGGACTGAATCGTTTAAGACGCACGACCAGGGCTCGCGATTTATGAGCTGACACACTACGACCTGATTGTCGGGGGACGACCTGAGAGCTCAACCTGTACGAGTTAAATCAGGACGGATCATTCACAATTATCTCGTACGCACGGCTCAAATACACACACCAACAAAAACACATCTCTCTCTCTCTCTCTGTCACACACAATCTGCATCCCCAATAAACACAAGCTAACCAGCGGCTACATCTTAACAAATATTCTGTCAGCCGGACGTCCGCAGATGTTTCCTGCCAATGTTTCTTTCATGCCTGCTGTTGTCATGGTGATTGTGGACGCTGTGTGTCAGTTTGTGAAGGGGTAAAGGCAGCGCAGTCGAGGGATTAGCTTGTGCAACTTGAAGTCATTTTGACCCCTGAATCTGTAGAAAAAGATTACCCTGGTTAAAAGAAAAAACACCAGAACTGCCCTTTAATGACACAACGCAAAGTGCACTTTGGTGCTCAAACACACCTTAAGAGCTGAAGTGCCACTGAGCCACAGCATCAGTCTCCTGTCCACTTTCCATGCACCACTGTACCTCCTGAGTGAGTCTCGTAATAATGAAAACGATGCAGGGTGCAAACCTCAGCACAGACACACAAAGTCACCTACACACCGTCCAGAAAACTACGTTTGTCCTATTTTCAGAGAAGTCCGTCCTGCTGGGACCGATTTCAGCGGCGTGATGCAGGTGCAGTGGACGAGAATAACCACAACAGATGACACGGGGGGAAGTCTGAGAGGGCGATCAGCTGACACAGATATCTTACAATCAATAGGTTTTAATCTTTGAACATTCATCCTTTAATTAAACATCGATTAAAAAGTAAAATGTTTTGACCCTCCTGATGTTGTATCTTCCCTCACTTCTACACACACGTGATGAACTGTGTGTGAGGTTTAATGTAATGCAGAGAAAGTCTCACCTGAGCACTAATCCTCTCTGGATGGACGTCTTCATCTTCTGCGTCAGATGCTCCACGTTGCCCTGAAATCACAGAGCAAAGCCTCACGTTCAAACCGGAGCAATCTGCAGCATGCAACCTGCTCGAGCAGCCGGTCCAGCCTCAGAGCACACACCTCAAGTCTCAGTGCAGGAGGATTGCAGGTTGGAATATGCACCAGCAGGGGGCGCCATATTTACTGTTTCTAGTCCCTAGAAACTCTTGGTGGTGGAGTTTGTTTCAATTTCTTATTCTTTAAATTATAATTACTGCAGAGAAAAAGACTCCTACCACTTCCAGATTTAAGACCCGTCTACAAAACCATTTTTAAAGAGATGATTGCGGGTAAAAAAAAGCCAAACATTTACTATCAGTTCTTTTTCTTTCTGCCATTTAAAAAAAAACAATATTTAAACTGTTTTTCTCAATCGCTTTGATCGCGTACTTCTGCAGCATCTCGCTGTAGTTACAGTGATGAAAAAGAACAACAAACACTACACCTTTACCTTTACCGAAGAATGGCAGCGAAAGAACACACTTTTCAAAATAAAAGCATTACAAAAGCAGTTTTGAAATGCAAAATTATGGAATTCTGAACATGAACAATAAAAGTAAAATTCAGGGTTTAATCGCCATTAAAAGTATTAATTGTTACACCTGTATATTTGTAATATTCAAAATAAAAACACTCAAATTAGTCCCTCAATGTGAATATTTTCTGAGGAAAATGTGAAGTCAAGCCGTAGTTTGTCTCATTTGACACGTACCCTGTTAGAGTCGTTAAAAAATGATAAAAAATTCAATCTTGTTGCAGAAGATCACGTTTGCTTTTCTATGTTATAAAGAGGCATTATTTTTTATTTCACAAGCAGCTCAACTCTCCTCATGGGGGCTTTAATCGATCAAAAAGTAACGCCTCTGACCTGCAGGTCCCGGATGTCGAACGGCTCCTCGTAGATGTAGACGGTGTCGGCTCCTGCAGCCAGACCGCCCACAGTGGCCAGGTACCCACAGTAACCCCCCATGGTCTCTATGATGAAGACGCGGCGCTTGGTGCCGCTGGCTGACTGCTTGATGCGATCGCATGTCTGAATCATTCACACACACACAGATTTAGTTATTCACAAGGAATGGTAGATTCTCTTTTTTTTATCAGAGGGAGGATGCAAACAATCACTCAAGTAGAGCTGAAATGATCGTCTCGTGTCTCGTTTATTTTATTAAAAAGAGAATTCTAATTAGACATGTAAAGTGTCAAACTGCTGCTTTGATTTATGGCTGTGCGAAATCTTAATGTGTAACGTTATTTGACGGCAACGATCATCTGCAGCTCGACTTCTGTGAATAACAAAAGACCACACGTGCAGCCATAGTTACCTTTTAAAGAGACGAGTCTGACCAGATACTCTGAGCATCAGCGGTGCACAGGTTAACTCAGGTCAACTACTTTAATTAAAACATCCGCTGTGTATGAAAAGTCTCATTTTGGGCTCTTAGTGAGTTCAAATGTAACACACAGCGACTCTCCTCGATGACATGATAAAGATCTAACTGCTCGTAAAGGTTGAACTTCAGGTTTAGTTTAACAAAGCTGAATCAGCATTTTTACTGATGCAAGAAAAGATAGAAACCGTGGCTAGTTTTAGCTTTTGTTTTTGTTGTGTGTCCTCTATTAAATATTCCCACAAAAGGCTATATTAGTATGTGTAGAAGTGCAATACATCCCTTAAAATGCTTTTCTTCATATCAAGGTGAGGCTTCCACATTGATATGTAATATTCTGAGTTGACCTGTGCACACTGTGTCTGTCTGTTCAGGTGATAGTTAAAGACATTAGGATAGTTCACTGTCACATTTCTTGATGGTATTGAAAGTGTTTGCATTGTGCTGCTTGTTGTTTTTTTCTCTGTATGCAAACTTTAAATCATCTGGTGTGAACTAGAGCCCGACCGATTAATCGACCAGCCGATAATATCAAATCCAGTGACTAACGCTATCGGCTAATTATATTGCAGATATGCGTCGATATTACAAAATGTATTCACCAGTCAAATAGCATTTTGTTTTACATTTATTGTGTTACACTCGCAGTTCTCCTTCACCAGCAGAGGGCGCTATATGGATCAGAACAAGCATCATCACTCTCCAGGGTGTCAAACAGTTATGAATGTAAATGTACAGTTTTTTTTCCAGTCGAGTGACCATCTTGTCTTCATTAAATATCTTTTCCACAAATGTTTGATAAGTGCATTTGAGGGATCAACACAATAAATTCTTATATGTATATATTTTTTTAAGTCTACAGATCAAAGACAGATCTAATGAAGAAATCAGGAAATATGTCAGATTTTTTCACTCCCTAATATCGATATCGGACTACAAAATCTTATATCGGTCGGGCCCTAGTGTGAACAGTGCCAAAAGAAAAAACGTTTTAATCCTGACCTCGAGTAAAAAACACGTCACAGTTATGCATTATTCAAACATCAACATCATCAACAGCCACTGACATGCAAGTGCATCATGGTCTTTGTATTTCTGTGTTTTAAGGACAGCAGGAAAGAGTGTACTCACAGATTGTAGTTCTCTTTTCTCCTACAGCTTTTTTCCATTGACATTTCTGACATTGGTGTAATATTTCACATTGCTAAATAATAAGTAGGGCAGAGTGTGTGTTTTATGAAGGAACCATCGGCGGTCAAACAACGACCCGTCGAGTCTGTGTTTTAATATTTAATTGTCTCACACACATCGTAACTTCCCCCTCAGGGCTGGAGAATCGTTTCCCTTCGCCTCTGAATTTACAAATTAATTTTTCTATAGCTCTGAGGTGATTTCTCCCTGACATCACACGTTACACCTCTACTTGTGTTGTTTTTTTTCTGTTGTTACACCCCCCCTTACCTCCACGATGGCGTTGAGCGATGTGTCCGCTCCGATACTGAGGTCGGTGCCGGGCACATTGTTACTAATGGTGGCAGGCAGCATGCACATCGGGATGCAAAACTCCTCGTAGTCGGCCCGGGCCTCGTACAGCTGCAGCAGGGACTCAAAGGCCTGATGGTGTGGGCCGTAATATGATGTTAGAGCAGCAGGGGGCACACTGCATACCTGAGACTCTGTGAGTGTGTCTTTTGTGTGTGTGTGTGTGAGTGTTTTTATCCGGCGGCTTCATGGTGCTCAGTGGCTCCTATGGCTTGTATCTTTATTTAAATTGGCAACTTAGATTCTGGTTTTAATGGATGCTGCAGAATCAGTGTTTAATTTCTGCACTATGCATTCATTTTTCATAAATAGTAAAGTGTTTGCTGCTATAAAAATCCATTCATATTTATCTTTAAAGGCAAAATACATCAGTCAAGTCGATGTTGTAAAGCTGAAAACAATATTTGAAGTGATTTAGGAATGGTGTCATCACACAATGAGTGCACGCTGACTCAAGCTTTATCAATGTGTAGGTATAACATTTTATGAAGTGAATGTATTATCTCAGGTTTGGGAGCAGGACTTCAATCACCTGACAAAGCTGAGTCCCTCACTGCACTCAACACACCTTATCTTCCCTTCCTCTCCTCCACTCACCCTCCTTCCTCGTCTCTTCCTATTCCTCTTGTTGAGAGTGCAAAAGGTCGCATTGCACTCAGGTGAAAACAGAGACTCAGATGATCTAACGGTCATGACAGGTGCAGGTGATCTGTCTGTTCACTGGGGGATCACATGAGGGACCCACAACACCTACACTGTTTTTCTTTGCTGTTTCCACTCACTATAGCTGCACCCCCCCCCCCCTTTAAATGCAGATGCACCCTGGGCCGTAAACCCCTCAGTCTGAGTCTCCCTCTGCACAATTTTCTGAAAGGTGCCAAATTCCCCTCTAGTAAAGGGGGACATGAGGTTAAATGATACAAGTCAGGAGTCCTTTTGATTTCACTGAGGCTATGAAGAAGCAGCTCTGAAACGTATGTGTGTGTGTGATCTGTAGTGTGTGTGCTGCTGGCTGGCTCTCTCCAGGTGACGGGGGCTTTGGCTTCCCATTGGCGGAGAGGAGATGGGATGGTGGGGGTGGGGGGGGGGGGGAGTGGGGTAGGGTTTGGGGAGTTCACCCTGTCCGACATGTAACGGTGTTGACGCGACAAGATAAAGGTCGGGGGTTGAAACTCCAGAGGCTCTGAGCCATGTTCCCTTTTCTGTACAAGATGCAAAGGAAAAGTTTGGATCTTCTTTTTTTAAATCTGGCATGCAGAGAGACGGGCTGTCCAAAAACTCAAAACATTAACATGACTTCAATGTAGAAGCACAGCATGCAGACTTCCTCCAAATGTGCTGATTTCTTGTGCTGTGTTGAGGAGGTATAGCGGGTGAAGAGTCCCTGTTGCATTGAACCAGACCGCCATCCAGTCATGTGCTGTTTCCCAAACAAACACAGAGAGAGGGCCACGCGCCAAAAAAACATGCCACAACACGTCACTGCATGCCCCAAACACTTACCTGGGACCTCCGCTGACCAGCTCGCCTTCCAACAACAACAACAACCATAAACAAGGGTTCTGAGCTACAGGTGTCCTGATGCAGCGTGTGTGTGTGTGAGCGCACCTGTGCTGATACGATCTGTAGCTGCAACATCCAGCTCAGAAGAATAAGATTAAGTCTTTTTCTGTATTAGTATTATTTTTCTTAATTTAATTATCTTTTTTGTCTTCGTACCTTTTCTTTGGATTTTTATTTATTTATATTTTATTTCATGTTGTATGTATTCTTGTATGTTTAAAAAAAGATATATATAAAAATGTGCCAGGATGAACAAAATTTGTGATGAAATATGACAACTTGTAACGTAAAAAAAGTAAAAAAAAGTATTTTTCTGTAGCTTTAACATTTACAACCATCTTGATGTGGTTTTGTTTGTGTGGAGGAAAGACGTTAAGCCTATTGAGGTCAATGGAAATCTTACTTCTAGGTTGTTGACAGTCGAGCCGTCTGTGTTTACACAGAAAATGTTACAGCCTGCTGACACTTCACAGCACCGGCTCTTGAACTTTTTTTTCTGTTATGTAACGATGAAAGAGCCTCTTATTCAGTCACTGTTCTTCCAACCATTTAAAACATAAAAATAGAGAAATCAGTGCATGTACTCGTACATAAATAGCCCCTCTTACCCTCCCTTTCTGACCCATATCACAGTCGTTTTACAAACCCGATCAACAGGCTGTTTTACTGAAAGATAAAGTTTGAAGAAACAGGCACAAATGTATTTCTAATTTTAAAAGTTTATGTTTTTTACCTTTAAACTTAAGAGATAAATCTTGTTTTGTGAGCATATGACACCTGCTGTTTGTTATCATTCTTGACTCCCCTCGTCTGATGGTTAATGTGAGGGATGCGAGCTGCCCGTCAGCGAAGCCCCGATCTCTGCCCCATGTGTGTCTCATGTCTGAACACTCTCTCTCTACCCGAGGCCACACACTTACATCAGTAATGGCGTTCAGAGCGGTGTCTGAGCCAATGCTGAGGTCTGAACCGGGTATATTGTTGGAGACGGTGGCGGGGACCATGACCATGGGCACGCAGAGCTCGCTATATTTGTCCCGCGCCGAAGAGAGTTCCAGTAATCCCACGTAGGCCTGCAGCGGTGAGAGCCAGCGACTTATTGGTTTGTTGTTGTTGAGGAGGTGCAGACAAAAGGAGGGATGAGGTGTGGGAGGAAAGAGAGGGAGGCCTAACGCGTTTTTAGGGTTAATGATGGCGGGAGGGATATGGAACTTTAAAATAGAATGAATGTAAGGAAGGACTTCACCTCTGTGTCCGTCTTTCTTATGGCCAGCAGGGGGCGACTCCACTGGATGCATAAATTAGTCTGATTGCAAAGACGTCCATGACACTTGTCCTTACATCTAAGTTTGATTTTCAACCTCAGAAAAACATCTGTTCAACAGGAAGTTACTGTCAGGATGGAGACAGGAAATGGGTTTCCCTCCATTGTTCCTAATACGGTCACTTTCATAAATCTACAGTTTGTAAATCTTCATAAAGCGTATTGCTAATCATGACAAAATGTTTTTAGACACATTTCTGCATGTTGTCTTGCAGATGACGTCTTTACAGCTCGATGTTTTAAAGCTGATTTGATTTTCTTGGGAAACATGGGGGCGGGGCCTTGAAGTGGGAGGGGCCTTGATGTGGGAGGGGCCTTGATGTGGGAGGGACCTTGATGTGGGAGGGGCCTTGAGGTGGGAGGGACCTTGAGGTGGGAGGGCCTTGATGTGGGAGGGGCCTTGAGGTGGGAGGGTAATGTTGCAGTTGATGTATGGATTTTTAAGAGTTTAACGCAGAATGAAGATCAGACACTTCGATGGCGTGTGTGAGGGACAATGGAGGAGGCGTGAGAGGAATGTACGTTGCGGAGAAGCCAAGAGGAGAGAGCCAGACCGATCATGACGGATAGTAACAGACACTTACGGTACAGGAAGTAGATGTTATAGCTCCACACACACACATGATAAACAGACGGGGAAGGAGGGGGGACATACTCTGTTCATACTCTGGCCAAGCTGACAAAGTCAAAATCACTGTGATGTGGTGATTCTAGATTTCGTTTGATTTGAATCGCAATTTATTTAAAGGTCCAACATGTAAGATATCTCCTGAGGTAACTGATAAAGGTATCTTACTCTATGATCAGACATTAAGGAAACATGCTATGTTGAAGTGCTGGCTTCTCTGACAACAATGCAGCAGCCAGTATGTCCTCCTTCTAACTTTAGATTCTGCTCCTGAAAGCTCTGGATTTGTTTGGACCAGAGAAGGTAGGCGCTTTTAAGACGACCCCCCACACGGCCCGTTTTGGACGCCCCTCTGTTTGTCAGATATGAGAGCAGTTATCAGGTCAACAGGTGTTGCAGCGATGGAAGCGGTCAAGAGAAGTGGTTCAGATAGAAGTGATTGTACCCGACCTAAAAAGCCTCTGCATGTTTCTAATAAGCTCCACGAGCAGAAACGTGCTCAAACTAGGATCAATATTGGAGATGCTTTTGCAGAGCTGGATAAACACTGAAGCTTCAGAGTCCACCTCATGGTGACCTGAGTGAGCATCCACTCTAGAGAGGAGGGGGGGGGGGGACAGCTCTCTGCAATGTTTAGAATTTGGACTGCAGTACCCATTTTAAACACTAGGGTCAGAGTTACATACTGCTCCTTTAAATTAATTCTGACTGTTTTAATTTTTTAAAACTTCTTTTGATTCCTTTTATTACACTTTTACAGGACATTGTCTTGAATATCTAGTTTACTGTATTACTTAACGTAGTTCGGTCGAGGCTATTTCACTGAACATAATCTCATCTTTTTACTTTTTTTAAAAAACCAGCACACAGTTTGGCTTTGCAGCTCGGCCATGGAGTGAAACAGTATCTGGACAGACAAGGAGAGAGCCTACAGCATTTCAATGTGTCTTGTTTTTGATAAATACACAAATACAGTTAATCAGAAGTGAAGGCATGTTTGAAATGTACTGAAGGAGAACTTGGTGAATATGAAATGTGAAAATGACAAAGTGCTTGATAATGATCGCAGATACAAGACTTAATGTTGAACATTTACGATTATAATTAGCTTCAGAAACAACAAAAATATCTATGAAGAAGAAGAACATATACAAGCAAAATGTGTTTATCAAGCTTATCTTTCTTTCTAACTGACAACACGTATCATTTATGTGATCTAGTTCAAGTTAAGATCGTTAAATAAATAGGGCGGAGTAACGTACCTCAAATCCTCCGATGACGAGCAGGGCGTTGATGTTATGGATCCTAATTTGCTCTGCTATCTTTTCCAGATGTTTCCCTGGAAGAGTTCTGGTAGAAAGAGAGAATAATGGGACAACATGTAACTGAACTCCTGTGAAGTTTGTTTTTGTTTTCTGTTACCACAAGAGATCTCAAGAAGACATGAAAGAAAGTTAAAAAAATAATTATAATTGATTCATGGTTAATTTAACCCTAAATTGGCTCCTCTCTTTTGTTGATGATTTATTAACAAGCAGAGTTATACAGTATGTATTTATACACAAGTGCATAGCATGGTATTTTATTTGTGGATTTCTTACTCTAGTTATTGAAAACATACTCTTCATTTGACTTCATTTGGTAGTTCTCATTAACGGTAACAATCGTGCCTGACCTGAATTCAAAGCACCCACAGTGCCCCCAGTGGAGAGGGGTGTCATTACAACAGGAAAAAAAAATCAATCTCAGGATTTCCCTGAATCGATTTTGAAATCGATATTTTTAACCAGCCCTGGATCCTTACATACCTTTTGGTCCCCAGCAGGGAGCCTCCTTGGCCGGTCCATCCACCGACATCTCCCCATTTGATCTCCTTAATCTGAGTTTAAAAAGAAAACAGAGAGAGATGTCCATACATTTTCATTTTCATTCCTTTTTGTGTGAACATTTAGAAACCCTCATTGTCTTGTTTTTGTTGATTTTTGGGAAACAACTCACAGATCAACAGACCTATGTGTGTATGGGGCTCGGGTTCGGTGTCCTATCATCTTAAGCTTAAAGACTAATCATGCTTGTTATAGTTCTGTTGGTGTTCTCGTGTAGCTATATTAAACCAGCAGCTCTTAAGGACAGCGTCCTTCTTTGTGTTTAATCCCTCACAAAGACAACAGTTTTTATCGCTTTCATCGGCTCACAGCTGCTCCCTGCACAGATAAAAATGTGTGTGTGTGATTGCAGAAAAGTGTAAATGCAATCCAAAGGGTATGGCCAAGACAAAGAGTGTGTGTGTGTGTGTGTGTGTGTGTGTGTGTGTGTGTGTAAACATGGCTGCTTCCAGAGTGGAGTAATTGGCTTTCAGTAAATCCTGCAGCACTGTTTATCTGGACACACTTAAGTCTTATCACTGTAAGCATGCAGCAGAGAGAGAGGATGACTGCACGGCCACTTCCTGCTCCCCGCTGTAGGTTGGACTAGTCACCATGACCTCTAAGGAATGTCCCAACTCTGATTGTTTACTTTTAATAATGAGCGCTGGCAGTTATACATTTATACTTCCATTCATGCCCTGAGAGTGGATCTTGTTCCTGGATCACTGAGGAATGCAGGAGTTAAGTCACATGTTCAGACATGTTATAAAAAGTCACAGTGACGTGCAGATTGAGGAAAAGACCTGACCTATCACGTTTCAAGAAACTGTATGTTTACTCATCAGCAAGTCAAGTTCAGGTGAATTCGATTGTGCACACACTTGACTAAAGCAAGAAGCGGGAGCTGCACTGGACTCAGCATGTCTGTTTATTTAGTTGGAATAAATGTATCTTTCACCTGCCGTCTCACAAATCCAAAGATCAAAACTGTGCAAACTGTTTTTTTCTTTTTACAGATTTTATCATTGAAATGTTAATGTATGTAAAGGTGTTGTAATTTGTTGCAAAAGCCCAAATATTGTAAAAATTCATGCAATTGATTGATTGTTTGACAATAGTTGAGTCACAAAAAATTAATCCTGAACAAATCTGATAGTTATACATGTTAAAAGTTAAGAAGAAAATTAAATATGTTCTCTTGTGCAGCTTTAAACTTGAAGGATTTACTGCTTTTGTCTGTCTAAAATACGTATCTGCTTTTTGTTCAGACTGCAGGCATGCCAGATTGATTTCAGGAAAAGTGTCCACACTGTTTGTTTTGCAGGTGATGACACTGGGTTTGTGTGTCCAGGCGTTATAAAAACCTATCTGCATGGCTTGCTGTGATAAAGATGTAGGGTCAGTTACTAAATATGCTGGTGACGAGCCCTCCAAAAACTGCACTGAGTCCACTAAAAACTATCTTGATCACGGTGGATATGCCATTCAATCTGATTCAGGAGAAGACTCAGGTTTTGTGCATTTCTAAAGTCAATCATGCATTCAGTACATACTGTAGATGTATGCATCAGTTCCCCTCCTACCTGTCCCTTGTAGAATCCCTCGAAGCCGTCGCTGACCGCAAACATTTTGTGGCCTTCAGTGATTCCCACCCTGACGGCAGAGCGCACAGCGGCGTTCATGCCCGCTGCTGGGGCGCCGACGTTCAACACGGCGACATTAAAGGAGCTCTGTGGAGGAAGACGAGCAGCTGTCACACACGAGGTACGATCAGGATTACACTCGACACAAAGCATAGAAAGTAGAATCCAGTAAGACCATACCTTTATACACCCACAAGCTGTTTCATCATCTCTTAAAATATCCTCACACCTCAAGTATGAGTCTTACATTCAATCCACCATCGCAGCTCGAGCGATGAGTGGTTTCAAGAAGATGGTATATCAGACACTCTGGGAGGCAGAGATGTATTAATATTGGACAAGAATCTTCTTGTTACTTTTATAGACACAGAACTTTGTTGCCAATTAAAAAAGAAAAAAAAAGTGTAAATCATGCCAACAGGAGAGTTGTTTTTTGGTCTTCACTGCCTGATTATACCATCCATGTCTCATTAACTACGAGCAGCCAGCCAGGTCTTTGCCTCAGAGCAGCAGGCAAAGATTTCCTTGCATGCAAGGAGCCACATGCCGCTGGAAGACACAGTGAAGCAGCAGCTACTCGCTCACACGATACATTGAAAATATCCACAAACTTTCAATAACGGCCCAAAGTTTGGTTCACCTTTTTGGTATTGTACATGTAGGAGTTACAGATGGGGTCTTTAACGCTGACTCTTGCCATTCTTTCCAGTAATATTTAAACGCACAGTATGTAAATTCCGCCACCAGGGGGCTCTCAATCAAAACAATAAGATGAAGTCCAGGTTGGCAGGAAATCATGGGAGTGATTCTCTCTGCTGGTTTTAAGGCCCCCACACGGCCGTTTTGGACGCCCCTCAGTTTTCCAGATATGAGAGCAGTTATCAGGTCAACAGGTGTTGCAGCGATGGAAGCGGTCAAGAGAAGTGGTTCAGATAGAAGTGATTGTACCCAACCTAAAAAGCCTCTGCATGTTTCTAATAAGCTCCACGAGCAGAAACGTGCTCAAACTAGGATCAATATTGGAGATGCTTTTGAAGAACGGAGAGAGGTTAGAACACAGAAAGGTTTACAGACCCATGCAGAGCTGGATAAACACTGAAGCTACAGAGTCCACCACATGGTGACCTGAGTGAGGGGGGGGGAGACAGCTGTCTGCAATGTTTAGAATTTGGACTGCAGTACCCATTTTAAACACTAGGTGTCAGAGTTACATACTGCTCCTTTAAAAATGCTCCAGTGAGCATGGAACCTTTCCCAGTTTGAGTTATGAAGCAGCAAAGATTCCCCACAGGCTGAAAGGGGGAAAAAAGTTCACCATCATTTGAAGCAAATCAAAGCAGACACTTTGGTCGTCTATCTTCAGCTTGCAGCACTAAAGCTACTTTTTGCATTTCTACATTTCTACTTAAAAGTAGAGCAATGAAGAAATAAGCGACGACAGACAGAGCGACGGATAATTAGCGCTGGTGATGTCATTTTGTGGCATCGTGTTACCAGGGAAACAGACTTGTCATCTGAAAACCTCTAAAATATTTTTAAACTATAGAAGTTAAGATCTAAAATTGATACAGAGCAAATTAAAAAATAGTCATTATTTGGACTGCTATTTATTTGAGAAAATGTAAAGGATGGTCTACTAGAAAATCTAAACTAGTAAAGCTGGGCTGCTCTGTGAAGCTCATACATAACATGCATCCACCTGCTCTTCATCCCCCGCCTCCTCCACCTCCTCCTCCCCCTCAGGACAGAGACAGTCACAGAAAAACAGACTCTGTTAGTGTCACAAAAAGACTGCAGCACCCACAAGCCACCTGACCAGGAAGTACCTTTTGCTACCATAAAAAAAACTCTCAGAGCCGCTGCTGGAAAGATACAGTAGAAGATATTACAACTCTGAACATTTAATCCACAATCATTTGTATTGTCGTTTATTTAATTTTTATCATGACTCAGGATGATGGTACTCACATTTGGAAGTTCAGAGTCGGCTTTCCTGTAGGAGAGGAGTCTGTAGGTGCTCAGATTGTTTTCAAAGCTCCTGCAGATAAGAGACGTGGAAAAATAAATTCATCCAAGTAGAACATTTGCAGTGGATGTCGGCTTTGTTGCTGCAGCTAAGAAAGCTTTTAGCTTCAATGCAAACACTGTGAAAACAGAACAAAGTGCCAAACAGAGGGAGGGCAAACTCAATCTGGTAGCTGTGTAATAAATAAATCTTATACATCATACAGGAACTGTGATAAAACAGATGGAAAATGAAGTTTTTGTGCAGTTTGTGTGATGAAATGACTGCTGCTTGCTCTCTATTAGCGCCATTTCTGCTTATTTTTTTGGGTTCTTCTTCATTGCTTTTGGAATCTTAGAAACAAACACACGTCAAACGTCTGATCATATCAAAGTAGTCGATGCCAAAAGAAATACCTGCCACGCAGTCTCACCGCCTCCTCAAACTTCTTCTCATCCATGGCCTTCTGCACCTCTTGGGTCTGATAACAAAAACATAAAAAAAACATCTTCAGTAATCATGTAAGAATCTTTTGAGTCCTCTCTTTCTCTGATGTGACAGTCGCTAAAGGCTGTGTTTATTCTACGTGCTAATTAGAGTTGATTGACAAGATCTGTCATCTCGCACTTCAAACATCTGTGCTGTCATAGCGAGGTGTGAATCTCCAATCACTTCAGACTGACTCAGCTGTAAGTAGCAGAAAGTTACTCTGCTCTGTAGCTATGATGCATTTCTGTCTCTCTGGATTTGATGTTGACCGCCTGATTCATGTTGTGAGAAATTTAAATCACATTAGAGCAGCTATGATGATAATAAATCTGTAGAAATCAATATTATTTACGAACCATCTCCTAGTGTGAATCTAATTTGTAGAGAAATGCATCTAACATAACTTCCTCTTGTCCTGAATTAAACAAATACATCAGGGAGGGATTTTACAAAACTGAAAGAGCCTTGACCCAAAAAATCCCAGGGACTTTTCAACTTGTTTTCTTTAAAGCAACATGCAGAAAACAAGATTACAAAATATGAAAATCTAGTCGCCTACACTCGTTTTGTATCCCAGACTCAAATTACATAACAGATTTCCACATTAGGGATACTGATTACAAGATTACTCTACATTGAGAACTACAAAACTTTGTACATTCAGCAACCTGGTAACTTTGACTGAGGCACTTTTTGAAGATGCAATTGTCACATACATAACATTTGAGCAGTTATTGCATATTTTTACGGCACATTTAAAAACAAAAGATTAAAGACAGAATGCGACATAATTAAGCAGAAATCAATATATGTAAAAGTGTCTCTGAGTCACGACTGTCTACAATGAGTGGGAAGCGTAAGTACTGCTGGCTGTGTTGTTGTCAGAGCCGTGTTTACATGGACGGGATGACCTTGTGTATAAAAGCTGTTTTAGTGAAGGACTAGAGGAAAGAAGAAGAACATACTCACTGATTATTTGGATGGCAGGTAAGTGTTTTTAGATCTCTGTCATTCTGTGTCAATTTATGTGCAATATGAAGCTATGAGTTACAGTAGCCAAAGTGTGCTAACATTAGCATGCTAACACAACAATGCAGGACACAGGCAATTGCAGAACGTGAGTGGAGAGGGGTTGGAGGTGTGAATAATAATAATCAGAATCTGTTTGTTGTTAGGAAAAGGTAAAGGTCTATATGTATGGGGATTCAGCCAACTCTATGTACTCCCAGTGCATGCTTTGTGTCTGCGTGACGTCTGTCTCTCTGACGTGCACACACACACTCTCTTACCATCTGAACACACTCCATAAGTGGAAGTCGAACAGCCTGGTTTCCAACAAGAGACACGACGCAGGCTGGAGTGTTGGCAGAGGCCTCCAACAGCGCCAGCACCGCCTCCACGCCCATACGGCTGGCCTGCAGAGATCAGAAGTCATTTAAAGGTCAGATCTGAGCTCTGGGATGCATGCAGACTCTGTAAGTCACCATGTTTGCGATTCAAACTTACCCCTTATCAACACATAGCTGGAGAGAATTTCACACTTGAAATGTTTTCATTTTAAGTTTTTAAAGATTTAATGACTTACCAGGATCCTGTCAAAGGCAGAGGGGGTCCCTCCTCTCTGCACATGTCCCAAGATGGTGACCCTGGTGTCAAAACCCAAACAGCGAACTACCAGCTGGATTTGGAGCGAGAGCGGGGTGGGAAGATTTCATAAAGTGAGGATAATGCGCTAAATGCAGAATACATATAAGAACAGGACTGTCCTGGAAAATCTACAATACTTTCTGGGTGACTTAACAAATATTACACAGAAAGAAAACTAATTGGTACAACCAGTTAAATATGCTTAAGTTTGAAAAAAAGCAACTAAGTTATCAAACAGAGCATTTATATTAGAGTCACTCTTTTAGTTTTATGGCATCTTGAAATAAAACAATCCAAAGATAAGACATGCAAGTTACAATCACAAAATAAAGAACAAAGGAGAAAACGTGCAAAACATTCCCTGTCATGTGAGCGAGTGCTGATAATACGCATGCATACGTGAAGTATCTGCAGAAAAATAAGGGTCCACAGTGAGCATGGGGTGGGAATATGGAATCAAGAAATACAAGGGAGTGAAGATATTCAAAAACAAAAATTAAAAAGGTGTAGCCGTGTTGACACAAAGACCATAAATGTTGCCATGTGTGCTCTCATGCTGAAGTAAAGCAAAAGAAAAATCCAACTGTGGAAGTGAAATGAAAACACCCGTGCTTCAGAAGAGGGTTCATGGATCCATGAGATGACCACACATCTCCATACTTACATCCTTGATATAATCAGGAGTGATCGCCTTGTTGTGGCTATCTATGGCACCTTCGGCTACAATAATAATGTTCAGCCTTTTCTTATCGGCTCGGTTCTATAGAGGGAGGGATACACAGAAGCAGAGGCAGTTTAAAAACATGACAGAAAACGTTTTGCATCGCCAAAAGCTGGAACCAGTCATGGTGGTTATTATCTCAGATAAACCCTCCTATGTCTAAAGATCACCCGAACCGTTTTCCAACTTAGTTTATGGATTTCTCCTGCAGGCACTTGCCACATTTTGTGATGAGCTTCATATCAAAAGTTTGAACGGCCAATTGGTTTTCAATTAGTCAAACTGGCATTCCAAGGAAACTGAAGGGCAACTGAAGATTTTACTTAAAACAACATGCACATATATTAAATATTAACGAGGAATCGTTGAGAGCAGAATATTACAAATAAATCTGAAAGGATGGATGTTGAGCAGAAAGGCCTAGCATAAAGTCTTTCTTACCTACATGTATCCTTGAAGCCGTACTAATGTGTTGAACGAATCCCTTCTTCAAAAAAAAAAATAATAATGATAATAAAATGATCTTCTGCCTTTCCTTTTATAGTTTAGTAATAAATCATTAACTCTGATTACTGCCACCATCTGTCAGTCAGTGGTACTGCATCCAAAAGCCCAATCTTTGACAGGCAGGTATTTAAGACAACACTGGGTGAGTTGGCATGTGTCTTTAACCCTGCTAAAAAATAAATAAATACATAAACATCTTGTAAATGCAAATCTCGATGACTGCTCTTGAGTGCCTTTAAAATAATAATTAAACTGACACTAATCCACTGTGATAATGTACGTTTTATCATCTTTTGATGAAATTATTTTAAATTGCCTTATTTACATTAACTTTAGATGGTAATTTCCAACATTTCCCAGAGTACCTTTGAACTATGCCCAGAAAAAGTGAGGTTGCTGCCTTCAGTCTCAATCTGTCCCCTTCTTAGACAAATTCTCACAGTTTGATTGACACCAACCGGTTCGAAAACGTATAATAGAAAACGTCTGTTGTAATGTGGCAAGTACCTACACAAAAATAAATAACATGGATATCCACCATTTGGTCCAGCTCGTGGCTTCTCCTTTGCTTCAGTCTTAAACTGAGCTCTACTCACATCCTTCACAAAACCAGAGGTAATGGGTTGTCCTTGTCTGTCAATGGCTCCCTCAGCAACTATGATAATGTTCAACCTGGAACCTCGAGAGCGGCTCTGGATGATAACAAACACTCACATGTCAAGAAAACTGAGAAAGTACGATTCCGTAAAAATGAATAAAAAAATATGTTTGATAGTTTTAGTGCTAATGTGAGTCCTTGTTTGGCAGATGATGGCTCTAGAGTGTGAATGATGGCTCATTGGAATTCTTGTTACACACTCTGAGGTGATTCAAAGGTTGTCAGTTTGAGTTTTATTTTTCTTGCAGTTAGATGAATATCAATTTGAATGCGTTCAAATTAACTCGAATTAAAAAAAACAAAATAAATAGGTTGGGCAGTAAGCACATCTGATTATGTAACTGAACGCAGCTGCTAATTGGGGCCGTACTTCATTGGGGACTCAAAATCAAAGTGATTCAAAGGTCGTGGGTTCGAGTTGCTATTCATGAAAGAGTTGCTAAATGAAAATGGATCAACAAAATGTATTAAACTTCATCATAAGCAGTCCTTTTTAGCTGCTCTTTGGGACCGTCCTTGGTTGATGACCCATCTTGCTTTTGATTCAATAGATGTTTGAGGTTCACAAGTCTTTTGGATCCAAGTGACCAACTTCTGCTATTTTCTAACTCGCTAATTGGCTACGTCGTCCCTGAATGAGCACTGGCATAAATGGCTCTGTGGCGCAATGGATAGCGCGTTGGACTTCTAGGCAAAACCACTAGAGAAGTGATTCAAAGGTTGTGGGTTCGAGTCCCACCAGAGTTGCTATTTATGAAGGAGTTGCTAAATGAAAATGCATCAAAGAAATGTATTAATCTTCATCATAAGCAGGCCTATTCAGGTGCCCTTTGCAACCATCCTTTGTTGATGACCCATCTTGCTTTTGATTCTATAGATCTTTGAGGGTCACAAGTCTTGAACACTAATTGGGGCCGTACTTCATTGGGGACCCATCTTGCATTTGATTCAATGGATGTTTGAGGTTCACAAGTCTTTTGGATCCAAGTGACCAACTTGTGCTAGTCTCTGACTTGCTAAGTGGCTACATCGTCACGAAATGAGCACTGGCATAAATGGCTCTGTGGCACAATGGATAGCGCATTGGACTTCTAGGCAAAACCACTAGAGAAGTGATTCAAAGGTTGTGGGTTCAAGTCCCACCAGAGTTGATATTTATGAAGGAGTTGCTAAATGAAAATGCATCAAAGAAATGTATTAAACTTCATCATAAGCAGGCCTATTCAGGTGCCCTTTGCAACCATCCTTGGTTGATGACCCATCTTGCTTTTGATTCTATAGATCTTTGAGGGTCACAAGTCTTGAACACTAATTGGGGCCGTACTTCATTGGGGACCCATCTTGCATTTGATTCAATGGATGTTTGAGGTTCACAAGTCTTTTGGATCCAAGTGACCAACTTCTGCTATTTTCTAACTCGCTAATTGGCTACGTCGTCCCTGAATGAGCACTTGCATAAATGGCTCTGTGGCGCAATGGATAGCGCATTGGACTTCTAGGCAAAACCACTAGAGAAGTGATTCAAAGGTTGTGGGTTCGAGTCCCACCAGAGATGCTATTTATGAAGGAGTTGCTAAATGAAAATGCATCAAAGAAATGTATTAAACTTCATCATAAGCAGGCCTATTCAGGTTCCCTTTGCAACAATCCTTGGTTGATGAACCATCTTGCTTTTGATTCAATGGATCTTTGAGGTTCACAAGTCTTTTGGATTCAAATGACCAACTTGTGCTAGTCTCTGACTTGCTAAGTGGCTACATAGTCACTAAATGAGCACTGGCATAAATGGCTCTGTGGCACAATGGATAGCACGTTGGACTTCTAGGCAAAACCACTAGAGAAGTGATTCAAAGGTTGTTGGTTTAAATCCCACCAGAGTCAGAATTTATGAAGGAGTTGCTAAATGAAAATGCATCAAAGAAATGTATTAAATTTCATCATAAGCAGGCCTATACAGGTTCCCTTTGCAACCATCCTTGGTTGATGACCCATCTTGCTTTTGATTCTATAGATCTTTGAGGGTCACAAGTCTTGAACACTAATTGGGGCCGTACTTCATTGGGGACCCATCTTGCATTTGATTCAATGGATGTTTGAGGTTCACAAGTCTTTTGGATCCAAGTGACCAACTTCTGCTATTTTTTAACTCGCTAATTGGCTACATCGTCCCTGAATGAGCACTGGCATAAATGGCTCTGTGGCACAATGGATAGCGCGTTGGACTTCTAGGCAAAACCACTAGAGAAGTGATTCAAAGGTTGTGGGTTCGAGTCCCACCAGAGTTGATATTTATGAAGGAGTTGCTAAATGAAAATGCATCAAAGAAATGTATTAAACTTCATCATAAGCAGGCCTATTCAGGTGCCCTTTGCAACCATCCTTGGTTGATGACCCATCTTGCTTTTGATTCTATAGATCTTTGAGGGTCACAAGTCTTGAACACTAATTGGGGCCGTACTTCATTGGGGACCCATCTTGCATTTGATTCAATGGATGTTTGAGGTTCACAAGTCTTTTGGATCCAAGTGACCAACTTCTGCTATTTTCTAACTCGCTAATTGGCTACATCGTCCCTGAATGAGCACTTGCATAAATGGCTCTGTGGCGCAATGGATAGCGCGTTGGACTTCTAGGCAAAACCACTAGAGAAGTGATTCAAAGGTTGTGGGTTCGAGTCCCACCAGAGTTGCTATTTATGAAGGAGTTGCTAAATGAAAATGCATCAAAGAAATGTATTAAACTTCATCATAAGCAGGCCTATTCAGGTGCCCTTTGCAACCGTCCTTGGTTGATGACCCATCTTGCTTTTGATTCTATAGATCTTTGAGGGTCACAAGTCTTGAACACTAATTGGGGCCGTACTTCATTGGGGACCCATCTTGCATTTGATTCAATGGATGTTTGAGGTTCACAAGTCTTTTGGATCCAAGTGACCAACTTCTGCTATTTTCTAACTCGCTAATTGGCTACATCGTCCCTGAATGAGCACTTGCATAAATGGCTCTGTGGTGCAATGGATAGCGCGTTGGACTTCTAGGCAAAACCACTAGAGAAGTGATTCAAAGGTTGTGGGTTCGAGTCCCACCAGAGTTGCTATTTATGAAGGAGTTGCTAAATGAAAATGCATCAAAGAAATGTATTAAACTTCATCATAAGCAGGCCTATTCAGGTGCCCTTTGCAACCATCCTTGGTTGATGACCCATCTTGCTTTTGATTCTATAGATCTTTGAGGGTCACAAGTCTTGAACACTAATTGGGGCCGTACTTCATTGGGGACCCATCTTGCATTTGATTCAATGGATGTTTGAGGTTCACAAGTCTTTTGATCCAAGTGACCAACTTCTGCTAGTCTAACTCGCTAATTGGCTACATCATCCCTAAATGAGCACTGGCATAAATGGCTCTGTGGCACAATGGATAGCGTTGGACTTCTAGGCAAAACCACAAGAGAAGTGATTCAAAGGTTGTGGGTTCGAGTCCCACCAGAGTTGCTATTTATGAAGGAGTTGCTAAATGAAAATGCATCAAAGAAATGTATTAAACTTCATCATAAGCAGGCCTATTCAGGTGCCCTTTGCAACCATCCTTGGTTGATGACCCATCTTGCTTTGATTCTATAGATCTTTGAGGGTCACAAGTCTTGAACACTAATTGGGGCCGTACTTCATTGGGGACCCATCTTGCATTTGATTCAATGGATGTTTGAGGTTCACAAGTCTTTTGGATCAAGTGACCAACTTGTGCTAGTCTCTGACTTGCTAAGTGGCTACATTCGTCACTAAATGAGCACTGGCATAAATGGCTCTGTGGCACAATGGATAGCGTTGGACTTCTAGGCAAAACCACTAGAGAAGTGATTCAAAGGTTGTGGGTTCAAGTCCCACCAGAGTTGCTATTTATGAAGGAGTTGCTAAATGAAAATGCATCAAAGAAATGTATTAAACTTCATCATAAGCAGGCCTATTCAGGTCCCTTTGCAACCGTCCTTGGTTGATGACCCATCTTGCTTTTGATTCTATAGATCTTTGAGGGTCACAAGTCTTGAACACTAATTGGGGCCGTACTTCATTGGGGACCCATCTTGCATTTGATTCAATGGATGTTTGAGGTTCACAAGTCTTTTGGATCCAAGTGACCAACTTGTGCTAGTCTCTGACTTGCTAAGTGGCTACATCGTCACTAAATGAGCACTGGCATAAATGGCTCTGTGGCACAATGGATAGCGCGTTGGACTTCTAGGCAAAACCACTAGAGAAGTGATTCAAAGGTTTCCCACCAGAGTTGCTATTTATGAAGGAGTTGCTAAATGAAAATGCATCAAAGAAATGTATTAAACTTCATCATAAGCAGGCCTATTCAGGTGCCCTTTGCAACCATCCTTGGTTGATGACCCATCTTGCTTTTGATTCTATAGATCTTTGAGGGTCACAAGTCTTGAACACTAATTGGGGCCGTACTTCATTGGGGACCCATCTTGCATTTGATTCAATGGATGTTTGAGGTTCACAAGTCTTTTGGATCCAAGTGACCAACTTCTGCTAGTCTCTAACTGCTAATTGGCTACATCGTCACTAAATGAGCACTGGCATAAATGGCTCTGTGGCACAATGGATAGCGCGTTGGACTTCTAGGCAAAACCACTAGAGAAGTGATTCAAAGGTTGTGGGTTCGAGTCCCACCAGAGTTGATATTTATGAAGGAGTTGCTAAATGAAAATGCATCAAAGAAATGTATTAAACTTCATCATAAGCAGGCCTATTCAGGTGCCCTTTGCAACCATCCTTGGTTGATGACCCATCTTGCTTTTGATTCTATAGATCTTTGAGGGTCACAAGTCTTGAACACTAATTGGGGCCGTACTTCATTGGGGACCCATCTTGCATTTGATTCAATGGATGTTTGAGGTTCACAAGTCTTTTGGATCCAAGTGACCAACTTCTGCTATTTTCTAACTCGCTAATTGGCTACATCGTCCCTGAATGAGCACTTGCATAAATGGCTCTGTGGTGCAATGGATAGCGCGTTGGACTTCT